GAAGATCCCACATGCCGCGGAGCGGCTGGGCCCGTGAGCCATGGCCACTGAGCCTGCGCGTCCGGAGCCTGTGCTCTGCAAATGGGAGAGGCCACAACAGTGAGAGGCCCGCATAACGTAAGGAAAAAAAAAAAAAAAAAAATACCATAGACTGGGAAGCTTAAAAACAACAGAAATTTATTTCTCACAGTTCTGGAGGCTTGAAGTCCCTGATCAAGGTGTGGCAGGGTTCTGTTTCTGGTGAGGACTCTCTTCCTAGCTTGTAGATGGCCACTTAGTCTCAGGTGCCCTCTCCTCGGAGTGTGCAGGGGTGTGTGTTGGGGGGTGGTGTGGAGAGAGAGATCTCTTGCCCGTCTTATAAGGCCACCAACCCTATCAGATTAGGGCCTCACTCTTATGACCTCATTTAGCCTTAATTACCTCCTAAAGGCCCTCTTTCCAAATTCAGCCACAATGGAGATTAGGGCTTCAATATGTGAATTTGGAGGGACACAATTCATTTCATAGCAGATGACATTTATGAAGCATTGGCACTTTGCTGACTGGGTATTTGATTATATTGAGGCATTACTGCTAAATATCTCTTGGGGTATGATAATGCTAAGTGTTTCATATATATACACATATATGTATATAACATGTATAAAATATATATATGTATGTATATATAAAATAATATTGGCATATGTACAATGATGTGTACACAGTACATTATATGTACATTATGTGTACACTTTTGCACACAAGAGTATATATATTTCCTTATTTTTTATTTATTTATTTTCAGCTGCATTGGGTATCCTTTCCATCCCAGCCTCCAGTTTACACTCAGGAGGGCAATCCTTTTTCCTAGCTCCTATCATATCCTTTTGGAGATATTCTACACACAACACACAAATGTATGTGCAAAACTATCTTCCTTTATTTTTTCTGTAAAATATAAATGGTAGCGTATAATGTTCTGCATCTTATTTCTCTTTTTTCTACTTTATCTTTAAAATCATGTCAGATTAGTGCATAAAATTTCATACTGTGGGGCTTCCCTGGTGGTGCAGTGATTGAGAGTCCGCCTGCCGATGCAGGGGACACGCTTTCGTGCCCTGGTCCGGGAAGATCCCACATGCCGCGGAGCGGCTGGGCCCGTGAGCCATGTCCGCTGAGCCTGCGTGTCCGGAGCCTGTGCTCCGCAACGGGAGAGGCCACAACAGTGAGAGGCCCACGTACTGCAAAAAAAAAAAAAAAAATTTCATACTGTGTAACGGCTCTACTGTATAAACGTACCGTAAATTCACGTAACATTTAAGTTGCTGCCAATTTATGTGCTATCATGACCAAGGCTACGCTGAATACTTTGTAGACCTAACATTTTTGCACACAGGAAGAAATATATTTGTATAGGCAACAGGAAGAAATGAGAACGCTGGATCAAAGTGCGTGTGCATTTAAAATTTTTTTAAATGAATTAATTTTATTTTTGGCTGCGTTGGGTCTTTGTTGCTGCACATGGGCTTTCTTTAGTCGCGGTAAGCGGGAGCTACTCTTCGTTGTGGTGTGCGGGCTTCTCATTGCGGTGGCTTCTCGTTGCAGAGCATGGGCTCTAGGCACGCGGGCTTCAGAAGTTGTGGCTCGTGGGCTCTAGAGCGCAGGCTCAGTAGTTGTGGCACACGGACTTAGTTGCTCCGCGGCATGTGGGATCTTCCTGGACCAGGGCTTGAACCCATGTCCCCTGCATTGGCAGGTGGATTCTTAACCACTGTGCCACGAGGGAAGCCTCCTTATTTTTTACATATGCACCAAAATATTTGTGGGTGAAATCATCTGATTTGCTTCAGAATGGTCTGGGAAGGGGAAGTGAATGTGACTATAGATGGAGCCAGGCTGACCATGAGTTGATGGTTGTTTGTTGGGTCTGGGTTATGAGTTCATGGGGGTGCATCGTATTATTCTGTCTACTTTTGCATATGTTCTAAATTCTCCATAACAAAAAATATAAACAAAAAGTGAGGAGGATTATTGAGATTTAGGGTTGGGGGGAGAAGCCAGGCATCTGCTAGAAGAGATTGCTCAGGCAAAGCTCTGAGGGAGTGAGGCTTTTGGGTGTGTGAGGCCCCAGTATTTCACAGGCGCTGGAGCGTGAAGCTGTGCCAGGTGCTTCGGGTACCAAGATGACTGAGGCTCAGTCCCTACCCTCCAGGACAAAGACCAGTCTCAATGGAGGGCCCTGGCTCAGGGCAAGCGAGACCAGAACCCAGTGGGAGAGCCCTGAAGGGCCTGTGAAGCTTGAATAAGGGGAACAGAAGCAGTTATCATTGTTCTGGAAGTGCTGGGAGACCAAGTGGTAAAAGGAGGCATCAGGCAGAGACCACCCAGTGTGCTAGGAATAGGGAAGCCTGAGGATGGAGCAGCAAGAATGTGATCATCCAGGCTCCCAACCAAATCTTTGCTGGAATTGTAGGAAACTGACCTTCGCTTTAGGAATCTGACTTCTTTTTGCGTTCTTACTAGGTGACTTTGGGCAAGTTACTTAAATCCTCTGATCCTTAGTTTTTTCTTCTGTAAAATGGGGATCGTAATAGGGCCCACCCCATAAGGTTGCTGTGGTATTAAATGAGAAAATATTTCTAAACCACTGAAAAGAGTTTGTGTTAGTTATTATTATCATCAGAGTTTCAGGGAGGAAGTTGCCTTCCCTTGGGGCAAGAAGGTGGAGACATCAGTTATTAAAATGAGAGAACCCCAGTGGGGAGGTGGGAACACCATATTACTCTTCTCTGCCAGCCCCTAATAGGTTTGTGATTTATTTTTAATTAAAAAAGCTGTTTTCTTACAGTGGTGAGCAGGGTCAGATGCAGAAAAGAAGTTGTAGAGAAAGGACCAAGTAAAATCCACTGGATCTTGTGAGAAAGTGTGGTTGGCCAGAGTGGTGAGTGTCTCAGGCCAAGAGCCCAGTTTCAGAAACTCCCTCTAGGCCCCCGTTGCCCTCTTGGGGTGGCTTCTTGAACAGGGGGTCTACAGGAGTGGAAGGTCAGGGCCATTGGGGGTGGGGTGGGGCCCAAGCAGGCTCCTCCCTCTGTAGGGAGCACCCGCCTTTCCCCTTCAAGGCTGTGGCTCTGGGACCACTTCCTCTTTCCTCACTCTGAAGCAGGGACCAGGCCTGCTGAGGCCTCAGGAAAAACGGGACTCCAGGATGCCTTAGCACACCTGTGACCCCAGGTGGGGATGGCTGAGTGTGCTGTTTGGAGACCTCTCTCCCTGCTTCAGGGGTAGCTGAGGACCACCTTAGAGGCCTGCAGGATGGAGGGGGCGAGTAAGGAGAAGCTGTCATCTGTGTCCAATCTGGTGACTGTGTTTGAGAATAGCAGGTACGGGGTAGTGGAGGTGGGAAGGGTCACCTTGGCCAACTGGCAGTCTCCCTCGAGCTCCTCTGCCCACCCCTAGGCCCTTGGGCAGCCCAGACCCTCCCAGTCTCCAGGCTAAGGAGCAGGGCTGGGGCCACCTTGGACCCTCACAGTGAGCAGTTCTCTCTCTGGGCCCTGTCCTGCACACCTCCTCCTGTCTGGGCAGTGCTCACGTCCCTTGGCCATGGGTTCCTTGGAGCATGGGAGAGTGTTGTTGGGGCGCCAGGCCTGCGCAGGGGTGAGAGCATGTGTGTTGGTGTGTTGGGGAGGGTCCAGACGTGTGTGTAATTATGAGTGAGCGTGGGTGGACCAGATGCCGTGTTTGGGCTGCAGAACTCCACCCATTGTCTCTCCAGCAGAAATAATAGCTAATACTTATCAAGTGCTTACTCCCTATGAGTAGGATAACCGTACAATTTATCATTCAGACCAGGACACAATGGAAACTGAAGTGAATGCCATTAAATTTTTTTGGTGGGAGGGAGGGGACAATAGGAAGGGTTGAGACTGTCACAGGCAAACTGGGATGTGTGGTCAGCCTACCTATACGGCACTGTTCTAAGTGCGTTGGCTGCTTATTTCATTTAATCATCTAACAGCCTATTAGGGGTAGGTTCCATCTCTATACCCATCTTACAGATGAGAAAGGGGAGGCACAGAGAGGTGGGGAGGCTTTAAGTGCTTTAAGTTCATGGGCAAGGAGCAATGCAGGGGTTTCCATCTGAAGGGAAAAGCCTGAACCGGATGTGTAGTGGTTATTGTGTGTCTGTATGTGACATTAATCCATTCTGCAGGCATTTCTTAAGCCCAGGACTGTGTTAGGGATTGTGACTGTTGTAAGTAGGGCTCTCTGGAAATAGCCTCCAGGGTAGAGATTTGCTTCAGGAAATTTGCTGGGGAGGCTTTTGGGAACAATACCTGTGTGGGTGAGGGAGGCAGCTTTGGGCACAGGGAGAGGTTGAACTGCCGAGCACTTGCCACAGAGGCTGCAGCCTGTCCCAGAGAGCTCTGGAGCTGGAGGCCTCTCAGGCTGTTCCAGATGAGGCAAAGGGCTAGGTCTTTGTACCCCCACATGGACTAGTCATTGGATGTGGACTTGACCTCAGATGATGTAGCTCTCTTCCGGAGAGGGCAATTCCCAGGGAGGGACCCAGTCAATAACCTGACAGCCACCACACCACCAGAAGCTAGGGGAAGAGTGCCTCAGTGCTGAGGGGGTGTGGGTGGCACAGCACAGCATCGCACAGGAACTGTATCAGATGCAGGAGCCTAAAGAATGATCCCTGCCCAGAGGACTTCTGTCTTTGGTACTAAGCTAAGACCATGATGCCAGGTCATGGACAATAGATATCCTGGGAGGGGCCTTGATGCTCTGCTGAGTGTATTCAGAGCAGGCAAAGCCTCCTGTGGGCTTCATGGTGGAGGCAGCATAGACGTGGACCTAGAAGGGCAGTTCAGCTTCCTGAGCGGGTGACCTGACCCTGCCTCTCCCAGAGGGCTTTGCCGGGCATGTTCTGTTCAGCACCGAGGACAGCTCTAGGCAGCACCTTCCTGGACCACCACCCCACTCGACACGCCAGGCATGCCCAGTGGAGACCCTCAGCATGTGTGCTCTGCCTAGGCAGCACTCCTAGCAGGAGGAGGCAGCCCTCAGACCAGATGGGGTCAGAGGAGGTCTTGTCGGGAGGATGAGAGTCACCCCTTACTGTGTGAGGGGCCCCATGCCAGCTGCCTTGGCCTGAGCTTTCTTGTGAGGCACTTCATTTCAGTGCCTTAACTGATCTGAAACTGAAGGGTGAAGAGGAAACAGAAGCTGGCCTGGGCATTTGGAGAGAAATGCAGAAGCTGAAACCAAATGTAGAACAGAAAGCCTGAGACTCAGCTAATTCCATGAGCTGCAGACCAGACCAGTGCTCTGAGGAACCATGGTGCACTGGAGTGCCAGAGAGGAGCCATGGGGGACTGGGTCCCAATCCTCTCTCTGCCACCAACCAGGGTGTGACGTGGGGCAGGTCACGTTGACTCTCTTCACCCTCTGACTCTCTGACTCTCTGTTTCTCCTTGACTCACATGCGGAGGGGCAGTTTAAGGCTCAGGCTCGGGAGCCAGACTGCCTGATCTGAATCCCACCTCTACCCCCCTCTTGCTGCAAGATCCTCTCTTTTCCTAGCTGCAGAATAGGGGTAATGAGAAACTTTCTCACAGAGTTTTGAAGATTTTGTACCTGTCTGGTCCTCCATTCCCCAGCCTGCCTTTCTTATAAGGGTGCCCACCCTGTGCTGTCACCACAAGCCTTTCCACACCAAAGGGAATGGGTCCCAGCCCAAGTCGTTGGATATATTCCTTGATGGTGGCCTCTGTTATCTAAAGAATTTAACTAGCCTATAAATCCAATAGGTAGGATAACAAAGCCACACTACGAAAGCTCATCGCTGGAGGGAGAGGGAAACTGATCCCAGGCTGGCTTTTCCCACCACTAGAGGTGTGGGGGGTGTAGCTCACACTGAAAAGCCCCAGCTTTATCAGCTCTGCCCTCCCTTTAGAGTGTTCCATGGCTCCCACCTTCCCTCGATATATCAGTTACTGGGGTTTTAGGGGATTTCCTGCTTACAGAGACTTAAAACCAGGGGTGAGGTCCACAGGCCAGGTGATCTGGGAGGGCACTTAAAACCCTCTTTGTGCAAAAAGAAGAGTTCCTAGCTGCATTTTAAACAAGGAAGTGTGTTGTTCCCCAGAAAACAAGACACAGTCTACACTGACTCATTCTGAAGACTGGAGTTCCCTCCAAGAAAGGTGTTGGGGAGGGAAGTAGAAGTCTCAGTGAGTTCTTCCTGTGCACCAGGTACTCAGAGGCCAGTGAACATCTGTGATTTGCATTAATTGCCCCCAGATCCCCACCAGAGAGGTGCTATTCTTCTCCCTACTCTACAGGCTGGAAACCCTCAGGTCTGCTGTCTTCTCCTCAGGACCCCGGGAGCAGCACCCACAGTCCACGGCCTGGAGGCTGGGCATCACCACCCTGGGTGCAGGCCTCCTTCACCCACAGGGCCATGGGATAAGCCCACCGTGGAGGAGGCCATGGATGCCGGGCCCAGGACGGTCAGCAGGAGGTATCTGAGCTCCCTGAAGAACAAGCTGTCCAGCAGGGACTGGAGGAAATCTTGCCAGGCTAGGACCTGCCCCGGCTCAGGGACACAGGTGCCCGAGGGGTAGTAGTGGGGAGCTGGGTGGGGGCCCCCCCCACTGACCTCCTTCCCACACATTCTCTCCCAGCCAGAGCCAGCACTTCCCCAGGTGGGGTCTTGTGTGACACACCCACCCCACCCTTAACGGCCTTTGATTAAGTGTCTACTATGCACCCCGCTGCTGGCATTATTTCTCATACCCCTCACTATAGGAGTCTTTTAGGCATGGAAATTGAAACTCAGACAGCTTAAGGAACTTGTCCAAGGCCACACAACTTGGAACCTAGTACCTTTCCCAGGGGCAGCCTCCATTTACCCACTGAAGGAAGCAACAGTGCCAACTAGAAATAGAGGTCAGCACTAATTCCTGCCCTTAGACTCATCCTGGGCAGGTCACCTCCCTTCTCGGGGTTTCAGTTTTCTTGTCTGTGGAATTTAAGAGCTCGGCTGCACGAGGCTGTGCACCCTGGAGCCAGACTACCAGGGTACACGTCCCAGCTCTTCTGCTTACTATGTGACCTTGGGCAAATCTCTTTAACCCCTTTGTGCTTGTTTCCTCATTTGTAAAATGGGGATGGTGATCATAGTAGTACATACTATGTATACTGGTTATCAGTTGCTGCATAACAAACTACGCCAAAATGTAGAGGCCAAATAGTTTATTATTTCTGACGGTTTTGTGGGTTGATTGGAATGCTATTGGATGGTTTTTCTGTTGGTCTCACTTGGAGTTTGTCTTAGTCTGCTCAGGATGCCATAGCAAAATACCACAGACTAGGTGACTTAAACAGCAGAAGTGCATTTTCTCACAGCTCTGCAGACTGGACATCCAAGATCAAGGTGCTGGCAGGGTTGGTTTCTGGTGAGGCTCCCTTCCTGGCTTGTAGATGGCCATCTTCTCGCTATGTCCTCACATGACCTTTCCTCTGTTCACATGCTCTCCTGGTGTGCCTTCCTCTTCTTATAAGGACACCAGTCTTAGTGGATTAGGCTCTACCCTTCTATCTCAATTAACTTAATTACTAAAGGCCCTATTTCCAAAATATAGTCACATTGGAGGTTAGGGCTTCAATGTATTGATTTGGGGACACAATCCAGTCCATAACAGGGTCTCTCAAGTGGCTGCAGTCCGATGTTGGCTGGGGTGGGAATGCCTAAGATAGCTCATCTCCCAAGCCTGGTGCCTGGGCAGGGACAGCTGGAAAGCTGTCCTGAGCTGGGATGCTGGCACGGCTGGACCCCTGGCTCCCTCTCACTGTAGTCCCAGGGCCTCTCCTCTCCATGTGGCCTCTCCATCAGGGCAGCTAGACTTCCAGATGTGGTAGTTCGTGGCTCCCAACAGAGCACAAGTGGAAGCTTCCAGGCCTCTTAAGGCTTAGGCTCAGAATGGGCGCAGCCTCACTCTGCCCCATCCTCTCAGTTAAATCGATCCCAGCGCCAGCCCAGATGAGTTGCAGGAGGGCATGAATCCCGGGAGGTATGTCTCACTGGGGCATCTTTGGATACTGCTCCCATCAGAGGAGACCAAAGCTCTCCTTCTCTTTTTCCTCCCAACTCCCCTGCAGGAGCCTGAGGACAAGAGGATCATCCAGGAGCTGCTGGAGACAGAGCAGGCCTATGTGGCACGCCTCTACCTGCTAGACCAGGCCAGTGGCCAGGACGCCCGCTCCTGAGCCCCAGCACCTGGGTGTCCTCACCCCACCCCTGCTCTCCCTTCTGACCCACCTCACAAGAGCTGAGAGTTAGGACCTCGGGGTTTGATTCTAGGAAGCCTTAGTCTTTTAACTCCATTGGCCAGAGTTCAGGCAGAAATCGGGATTTAGCTCATTAGCGCCACTCCTGGTTCCACCGTTAGTGCCTGGGCTGGTCTCACAGGAGTGGAGAACACACCAGCCAGTCCTTCCAGGCCCCACACAACATCCTCATCTGTCATTCCAACTCCCAACATCCTCACCATTGTTAGCCCTTCACACTTTCTTAAGGAGCCCTAAGGCGAGAGGGTTAAATCACTGAACATCAGCAGTGAGATCTTGAGCCTGGCGAAGTCCAAGACTTGACAGACACGAGATAGGCCCATTTCTGACATTCATCAGCTGCCAGCCTTTGGCCAAGTCCTTGTGTCTCTAGGCCTTGGTTTGCGCATCTGTAAAGTGGCCGGAATACAATCTTCCCTGCTTCTCTCTCTTCCCAGGGTTTTTGTGAGATTGATGGGAGATGAAGGAGGTGGAAGCATTCAGCAAGCTGGGGGAGGACCCCAAAGCCCCTGGGACTGTGCTTGTCTCCCCCTGGGCTGTGTTGGGGGTGGAGGTCCTTCTCTGCCACAGGCCCAGTGACCCAGCTGCGGCTGTAGGTGTTCTTCCAGGAGCTGCTGAAGGAGGCCCGCAGCAGCAAGGCCTTCCCCGAGGATGTGGTCAGGCTCATCTTCTCCAACACCGCCTCCATCTACCAGTTCCATGCGCGGTTCTTCCTCCCAGAGCTGCAGCAGCGGCTGGACGACTGGTGAGGTCCAGCAGGAGCCCCTGAGGCCCCCTGACCACAGCCCTGGTCAGGTCTGGTTGCAGCCCCCAGGGAACTGGGTTTGGCCTCTTACGCCCCTGCCCTTGCTGTGTGACCATGACTTTCCTCCTCTGGGCTTGCTCTGTCCGCACAGTGAGGGGCTTGGACGAGGCGTGTGTGTGTGTGTCCTGGAGAAGGGGATGGATCAGGTCCTCACTAGGCTGAGTGACTTAGGAGGCAGTGGAAATAACCAGCACTAACTGAGGGTTTCCTGCTTGCCCTGCCTTGGGCTTTACACCTATTAACTTGCTTAATCTTCACATCAGCCTGCTGTGTGATGATGGCATCGTGGTTATGCAGGAACCCCTCTCTGTTTTCAGAGATGACCACTAAAGTATTTAGTGCTGAAATAAGTATCTTGCCAAAGAAATCCCATGATGTCTGGGATGTCCTTTAAAATTCTTTGTTAAAAAAGAATGTTAGTAATTGTTAAGTGCAGGGACAGATATATAGGGCTTCGTTATTATATTCTTTTTATTTTATGATTGCTTAAAATTTTTTGCAATAAATTTTTTTGAAAAAAACAACCCTGTGAGGTTGCCTACCATCATGCCCAGTTTTTTCAGATGGGAAAATTAAGGTATAGAGAAGCTAGGTGACTGGCCCAAGAACACACAGCTAGAGTAAGTGGTGCGGTTGGAAATCAGACGCAGGCGGGCCAGCTCCAGATGGTCAGTCCTTACCGCTCTGCTGTAACAGTTCCTGGGTCGAATGACCTTTTCTTACCTCTCTGAGCCTGGATTTCCTCCTCTCTAAGATGGGCCATTGACTGTCCCTCCTCCCCCACGCAGGGTTGTGAGAATTAAATGAAATGAGACATGCACGGAATCTTGGGCAGTGCTTGGCATGTGGCCCTTGTTATTGTTACATGAACAAGCATCAGGTGGTTATTGAACACCTGTTGTGGGCCTGACACTGTACTAGGCCTTTGGGGGAATCCAATCTGTGGGAGAGAGCAGCATCTGCCCTCAGGGGGCTTACGGTCTAAGGGGGAGTGAACCACACACATGTGTGAGGATGACACGCCCCCCTATACCTGCACCCAGAAGTGCCGCAGAAAGGCTGTGTTGCGGGGTAAGGGGAGCCTTACCGAACCTGACCCTGTCTGGAGTTAAGAGAAGAGGTCTGCAGACTGAGGGCAGTACCTGATGCCCCTCCTGCAGGACGACCACCCCCCGCATTGGCGACGTGATCCAGAAGCTGGCCCCCTTCCTGAAGATGTACAGTGAGTATGTCAAGAACTTTGAGCGAGCCGCTGAGCTGCTGGCCACCTGGAGTGACAAGTCTCCACCCTTCCAGGAGGTTATCACCCGCATTCAGGTGAGGTTGGGGTGGGGGCGGGGCAGAGCCTGCACTGCCACCCCAGTGTGCAGTGGCTCAGGTTCCCCAGTGATTTGGGGCACCTCCCTGGCTCAGTTGCTGCGCACTCCCCTGACCCTCAGGGGCAGCCTGACCCACCCCTTCCCCCTCTCAACCCCACGCTCTCCCTCCCCCCTCCCTCCCCAAGAGCAGCGAGGCCTCGGGCAGCCTGACCCTGCAGCACCACATGCTGGAACCTGTGCAGAGAATCCCACGCTACGAGCTGCTGCTCAAGGAGTATGTCCAGAAGCTGCCAGCCCAGGCCCCAGACCTGGCTGATGCCCAGAGTGAGGACACCCCCAGGGAATCCAGGGGGTTGGGGAGGTTCAAGCCACTTCCATAATTTATGGAGCACCTGCTAAAATGGTTATGATGACCATCAGCCGTCAACATTGACCGCTGGTACTTCGTAGACATTGTCTATAGCATCAGCCACTTTTTTATAGACATTAAGGCCCAGAGAGGTTAAGTGACTTGCTCAAGGTCACACAGCCAAAAAGGAACAGAGCTGGGATTTGAAACCATGCCTTCACCCTCTGGATCTGGGGGGCATTGAAAGTCACAGAAGCCAACAGCCTAAGCCCTGTCTTTTGGTGGCTTCTAGTCTCTCCACTCTGGGTGGGAAATGGCCCCCATCATCCAAATACCTCATGTGCTAGGCTACAGGGGAAGGCTGCTCCTGGGGGTGCTCATGGCAGGCCCTGAGGCCACTTGATTAAGCCTCAAGGATCTCCTGCCTCAGCCACAAACCCCATATTTTCAGGGGGTAACTCTGGCCCTGCCCCCATTTCAGAAGCCCTTGACATGATCTTCTCAGCCGCTCAGCACTCCAACGCAGCCATCACTGAGATGGTGAGCATCCCAGCCCTCGGAATAGAAGCAGCGGGCATCCCCAGGGGCACTGTCACCTCCTCCCTGCAGCTCTCAGCCTCCCCCAACCCACCCAGGTCTCTGTATCTCCTCATCCCCTGATCCTTCCTCACGACACCTGGCCCACCTCCCCCTCACACCCTGTCCCTGTCCACACAAGGCAAACCTTCCAGAAGCAGGCAGGCCCTGCCTGGCCTCGGCTGAAGGTACACCTCCTGTCCCCAGGAGCGGCTGCAGGAACTGTGGGAAGTGTACCAGCGCCTGGGCCTGGAGGACGACATAGTAGACCCCTCCAACACCCTGCTGCGTGAGGGCCCTGTCCTCAAGATCTCCTTCCGCCGCATCGGCCCCATGGAGCGCTACCTTTTCTTGGTAGGGGGATGCTGGGGGGCCTGCCCCACACTGGGGAGGGAAGTTCATGGGCCCTCTGCCCCAGGTTCTGCCTGCCTGGCATCTACCCAGCTGGCACTGCAGGACGAACAGGGACGAGCCTCCTTCTCTATCCTTCTCTACTTTGGCACCCAGGTGACTCGGGACAAGTCACATGCTACCTCCAGGCCTCAGGAATTTCTAACTGAGGGGGTTCCCAGACATGCCCTGGGAAGCAACAGAGTCAGAATTTGAACCTAGTCTGTTTGGCTCCAAAGCCTGTGGTATCAATCTATGCTCTAGGGAGTGTACAGCAGGAGGGAATTAGGTTGGCTGCTAGGAAGAACTGCCCTGGTTTGCACTGAAGAAGCCAGGGTGTCTCCTGGAAACTGGTCCCACCTGAAGGCTTTGGGGAGGGAGCTAAAATCTCTCATAAGCCCCTGCCACCCTTGGCCCCTGTGAGAAAGGCCTCGTAGGTTTCTGAGGTCTGATGTGGTCCCTTGATGCCCACAGGTAGGGCAGTCCTTCAGCGACCTACCTGTTGGATTGGGGCTAGACAACCACTTCCTCATCACACCTGTGAGGTCCTGTGAGCTGGCCCAGCGGGTGGCGAGAGGGGAGGGAGACCCAGTGGGGCTCAGCCCACGCCCAGGGAAGCCTGCCTGATTGTCCTTCCTGCCCTTGCCACTGTGCACACACTCATGCTTGTGTCTCCTGCAGTTCAACAACATGCTGCTCTACTGTGTGCCCAGGGTCATCCAGGTGGGTGCCCAATTCCAGGTCAGGACCCGTATCGACGTGGCCAGCATGAAGGTAAGAGGCATCCCAACCACCTTCGGGCTTTACCCCAAGGGTGGGACCGAGAATGCGGAGTAGCAGGAGGGGCCAACCTGGGTCTCAGTCCAGGAACCCAGGTGTGTTAGGTCCGGGGCAACATGAAGGTGGAAAAGCTTTGGGGTTAGATCTCTCCCACCTGGCCTCCTAGCCTTCCTGTCCAGGGCCCTTCCTAGCTCCCAGCTTTGCTCTGCTTTCCCT